CCGCTAAGAACCTACCTTTAGGCATCTAAGGCCAAGCTCCTGAGGCCGTTCTGCCCACAACCCCCTTAGATCCTTCGCAAGTGCGGCAGGTACCACGCTCTGTGCGATAAAGCAGGAACTCTTCCGAAAACCCGCAACTGCTGATCCACTTGTCCGGCACGAGAAGCCCCGAGCCCCAGGGAAGTGTAGAAGATTCCGAAGCCCCAAAGGCTCCCATGGCGAAGATGAGAAGACTGTCCCCTAAGGCCCTAAAACCCCCCCAAGTCCTTACCCAGGCTGAGAGCCTTAGACCCCAAACAGGTCCAGAAGGTGGAGAAGATTGTCCACAACCCCGTTGACCTGGAGGCAAGTCTAGAGTTCCGGTTCTAACACGGCATCAAGGCCCTAGGGGGCTGTTGGGGCGGGTTTCAGGGCTTCAGGGCTTCAGGGTATTCCTGGGGCTTCACCAGGCTCTCTGTTTGTTCATGTGCGTGTGTTGAGACTCCAGCTGAGGTGGAGGTGCCTCGCCCTGTGGTGATCGAGAAAGTCGTCCAGGCGGGCACCAAGCGGCAGCTTGAAGGGCTCAGAAATGCAAAGGCCCCGACAAGTAGCTTTTAATTTAAACTCCTTAATTAAACTCCTTAATTTAAACTCCTTAATTTAAACTCCTTAATTTAAACTTATATACTCGGCCCTTGACGTAGGGCAACTCGCATAGGCGAAAGGCGTCTCACGAGGGCGTCGCACTGCAGTTCTCGAGTATGTGCTATTGCTTGACAGAGATATCTTTACGACACGTGGGCGTCTTACGGGGGCGTCAATGCAGTACTCCAGTATGTTATTGGCTTTGGCATTGGGACATGTCGGGTTTAGCACAATGCGTCTAGTAACTGTTGGCACATGGCAGTCGCATAAAAAACCCCCTCAAAACTTGGAACCCTGTGTCACCTGTCTCCACCCTAAGCCCTAAACTCTGAACCACGAAAGCCCCGAACCAGGTAGGTAGGAAGGTCCAGGATTTGAGGAGCCCTTACCTCAAGCAACTCGCTAAGAGCGCCGACAGGTACGAAGATTGCTACCGATGATTGCATGTGTCTGCTTTTGTTGCACACCCGCCTTGTGGTTAATTGTGTGTATTCTGACTTCTTCGTAGCTTTGATGCGGCGATTCACTGCTACTGCTACTGCTACCACTACTACCATTCTTCTTACGACATCATTACGACGACGACGACGACGAACGGTACTAGTACTACTGGTTATTGTTACCGCCCCGTAACTCGGAAGAGCTCTGGACGCCGCCGAAAGTGCGATCGCTAAGTTTGGATGCGACGATTATGACAAGTTCTTCTTGCTGCAACTCCTACGATGACTACGATGATTACAAGGACTCTGACGACGAGGAATACTACGACCAAAAAGCTTGACGACTGCAAACTACGACGACCAGGATGGCTACAGCAACTACATCTGCTCAGTTCGACCACACTGCCCCTGCTAAATCTTGAAGCTTTCAGAGAAGTCCTCCGCCTAGAAACCCCAAGCCTTCCAACCTAAAGACCTTGAAGCCCTGAGTTCGGGGCCTCCCGGGTCCCTCACAGGTGCCCACCGTCCACGTGGAGGAGAAGGTCGTCCGCGTGCCGAAGGCTACCCAGAGTTTGGGTTTGGCGGCTGCATTGGTACGAGAAGCAGTTGGGACCATAGTGCTCCCTATGATTTCTCCCTATTAAGGGGGAGCACTACAGGGGGCGACCCCTCCTAAATGGAAGATTTCGGGCACAGGGGGCTGTCGCGGCTTCTGGCTGCAACGTGGTTGAGTTCCAAAGCCGGCCCGCATGTCATTTTGCAGGATGTTTTGATGTTTTTCAGGCTTCTGCAGCGTCCTGGGAATCTCCTGAGGTCTGTTACGCTTCGAAGAGGGTTGCAGGCCTTTCAGAGGTTTCTTGCTTGCACCCCCCTAAAGCTGCGCCCTTGGCTGTGGGAACTTTTTCAGGATCCTGAATAGAGTAATTTGCGGTGGGGTACAGCCTTCGGCGACCCGGGAGCAGGAATGAAAGACCGATGTAGGATCCTTGGATGTCGAAGTGGCTGCGAGGTGCTGAACACCGTGGTGGACACCGTGGTCCAGAACACTGTTGAGACCGTGGAGGTTGTGAAGCCAGTGGTGGCCCTCTGCTTGGATCATTTGCTTTAGGACGAGCTTGCCACAGACTGCGTTCTAGACCCTTCAGCCTTTCTTCTTGACCCCCCCCCCCTCAACCAGCCTGCCCGAGGTCCACAAGGTGGTCCAGCGAAAGAGGCCCATCGTGCAGGAGGACCGCTCCCCTACTTTCACGCTTTATCGGCTTGCCTATTCCAGCCTTGTTGTGTAGAATGCCGGGGCTTCGGACTTCGAAGTCGTAAGCTCCAGCTGATCTCTTCGGTGGAGGTTTTCCACGCATGGGCGTATCGGGTTGAGGGTGTAGGATTCCGGAGACACTTGGGATTCGGAGCTGTGCTCTGCTGGGATGCACACAAGAAGAATGTAAACGAGGGGATCAGGTCAGTCTTAGTAAGGGCACCCACTTCCCGAATTCACTGCTTCGACCCACACTGCAAGTATGCCCTCAACCTGAGTGCACACCTGCTGGCACGCAGGATACCGTGCAGGTGCCCAAGGCGGACCTGTGAATCGTTGTGAATCTTTGTTGGGGGGGAAGGGGGGGATGCGGGGAGGGAGGGAAGGAGTTTAGGGTTTCGGGCTCAGGGGAAAGGAACTCCTGCATGATCCCGCTCACGGACCTCAGCAACCAGATTTGCTGCTATGCAGGGCGCGTTGGACATTTGTTGCTTCAGCCCTAAATGCTAGGCTCAGCCCTCTACTCTCTAGCAGTGCGTGGGGCGGCCTTGGTTCCTAGACCTAGTTGGTCAGCCCGAAACCCTAAACCCTAAACCCTAAACCCTAAACCCTAAACCCTAAACCCTTAACCCTAAACCCTATTAGGGTTCAGGGTTCAACCCGAAGCCCTGAACTCCAAAACGCCGAGCACCTGTCGGCGGGGGCGCAGGTCGTCGTGCAGCATGTCCCTGTGCAGAAGGTCGTGGAGAAGCAGGCCCCAAGGGGTCAAGGTTTGGATCCCTAGTGGTTTAGGGCTTAGGGTTCAAGAGTTTAGGGTTTAGCGTTTACGAGTTTTAGGGCTTTAGCAGTTTGCGGTTTAGCGTTCAAGAGGTTTTTAGGGTTTAAGGGTTTAGGGCTTTAGCAGGCTAAGGGGCCCCGAAGGTTTGGAACAGTAGTCAGCGGTACTACTACTACTACTACTACTACTACTACTACTACTACTACTACTACTACTACTACTACTACTACTACTACTACTACTACTACTACTACTACTACTACTACTACTACTACTACTACTACTACTACTACTACTACTACTACTACTACTACTACTACTACTACTACTACTACTACTACTACTACTACTACTACTACTACTACTACTACTACTACTACTACTGCTAGTAGGCCCTTCGTCAGTGGCTTGGAACTTTGGTTCTGAGCGGCGGCACAAGGTTTCCGCAGACTGTCCGACGAATGCCCTTTGGGAGCCCTGGTCTGTCTAGAAGGGTTCAGATGGGTTTAGGGTTTAGGGTTTAGGGTTCAGGGTTTAGGGTTTAGGGTAGTTTAGTTCAGTTTAGCTTAGTTTAGTTTAGTTTAGATTGTTGCGGCCAGGTGTCCGTCCCTGTCGTGCAGGAGGTCGAGCAAATTGTTGATGTGCCGGTCGTCAAGCAGAGGCTGCGCGTTCACCCGCAACAACACAGATTCGGAGACCGTGTCAACAGTAAGGATGTCATTCTTGACGGCGGCTTTTGTTGGGTTAATCACGGGAAGGCTTGGAACCGCCGCTTGCAGCAGCAGGAGCTTCACTTTCTTCTGGCTGGCTCTTAACCTCTTGGGCTTTTGTAGAAACTACAATAAGGAGCCTGAAAGTTAAACTTTTAGGAGGGGTTCAGAAGTCAGCCAAGGGAAGCTTGCTTTGTCAGGCACCTGCCCATGGTCCAGAAAGTCGAAAAGCAGATTCAGGCTCGGGCTTCGGCGACACGGACCGTAATCCTAAACCCCATACACGAAGACCTAGGCCTAGGCCTTATCAGTCAGAAGCCCAGAGCGCTGATAGCCTAAATTCCTAAAGTCCCAGACTTGGTTGTCCTTAGAGATCATTGTCAACTTCCTTTCTCTCTCTCTCTCTATAAGAGGGAACTTAGTTCTTCAGAAATCTTTCAAGGCCTGCAGACCCCCCAAGTTTTGCTTTCCAAGGGGGCTCCGGCAGGTGCCCCAAATCCAGTACATGGACCACCACGTGGAAGTGCCCATCCAGAAGCAGGCGGATGGGCCGAGGGGCTTGGGGTTTCTTGCAGGGCTACTTGGGAGTTTAAGGGCTTTGGGCCGTTTCAGGGTGGCTTCGGGTCTTTTGGGGAAGCCGAAGTCGGGCCTGAAGTTTACGAAGCATTTATGAAATCCCCCCTGAAGCCCTAGACCCCAAACCCTAAGCCCCTAAATCCGTTCAGCCCCGTGAGTGCGCGCAGCGAGGGTCCACCCATTTGTTTAAGGGAAGCCCCTCATGCTTTGTAGGACCTCAGTTTTACTTGTGCTTGCATGGGAGCGGAAGGTCTTAGGCGTGTTTGGGGTCAGAGGGGCTTAGGAGTTCCAGGGGTTCTCGGGGCGACCAGCTAAGGTAGAGCTCTTGGGTTATTGGCCGGGTTGTTTTGTCTCCAGAGGTTCTAGGGTAGTTTCTGCTTGTATCATGGGTTTCCCTACCACCCCTCTATACTACCCCCTCCTAGGTTCTCAATAACCTTAATTAGGCTTAGTTACCCCTGAATAGCCTTACTTGTTGGGGGGGAACCTAGGGGGGGTAGAGGGGGGTAGTAGGGGAACCCCATGATTGTGGGTAGATTCGGAGTTGAGAGTGGCTGCAGGTGCATGTTCCCATGGTCCAGACTGTCCAGAAGCATATCGAGGCACCAGCGGGCTTGTTGGATGTTTCAACATAAGGATGGGTAAATCCTAAACCCTAAACCCTAAACCCTAAACCCTAAACCCTAAACCCTAAACCCTAAACCCTAAACCCTAAACCCTAAACCCTAAACCCTAAACCTGAAATCCGCAACCCCGCAGGCTTCGGAAGATCCTCGGTATGACTTCACTGCACGTAGGGGGCTTGCAGGAGTTTAGCACCTAGACTTTGAGCGTGAATGTAGGGCTCTAGGGGTTTAAGACTCGAACTTGAGGTGTAAGGGCTTGAGGTTTTAGGTCTCCTTAGGGTTTAGGGTTTAGGGTTTAGGGTTTAGGGTTTAGGGTTTGCGGGCCTATATGCATCCACACAGTGAGACTGAGGTGCCCCAAGTCGTTTTCGAGGATGAGGTCGTCCACGTCCCCATCCAGAAGCAGGCGGCTCACTAGGGATCTCTCTCAAAACCCTAAACCCTAAACCCTCAACCCTAAACCCCAAACCCTAACCCCTAAACCCCTAACCCCTAACCCCTAACCCCTAAACCCTAAACCCTAAACCCTAAACCCTAAACCCTAAACCCTAAACCCTAAACCCTAAACCCTAAACCCTAAACCCTAAACCCTAAACCCTAAACCCTAAACCCTAAGGACTCTGGTGCGAGTACAGGCATTCGAACGCCGCGAAGTGTGGGAGAACTACGACCACCCACCCAAGAGACAGAAGCAACCCGAGGGTTCAGGGTTTAGGGCTTAGGGCTTAGGGCTTAGGGCTTAGGGCTTAGGGTTTAGGTTTAGGGTCCACATTGCGTTCCAAGTTGCGGTCCCTTCCCGGGTATCTGGCTATCAAGGAACCTTATCATGGAGCGTATAATGTGTCAGCTAGGCCCCAATTTACAACAAGCTCTTCCGCAAGCAGGTCCAGGGTCCTAAACCCTAAACCCTAAACCCTAAACCCTAAACCCTAAACCCAAAAGCCTCTACAGGTCCAGGTGCCCATGGTCCAGAAGGTGCAGAAGACGGTGGAGGTGCCGCAGGTGCAGTACGAGGACGGGCACGTCGAACTCCCCAAGGAGTATAGGTCTAGGACTTTCAAGCCTCAAAGCCTGAAGCTCTCAACCACAAAGCTTCGGGTTTATACAGGGTTTAGGGTTTAAGGTTTAGGGTTTAGGGTCGCCTGGACAACCTTTTCTATGAAACCTAGTCGCAACGCTCGAATTGGCCTGAGGACCAGGTCGTCCAGGTCCCCGTCCAGAAGCAGGCACGGTCATCCAAAACAAAAACCCCTAAACCCTAAACCCTAAACCCTAAACCCTAAACGCCAAACCCTAAGCCCTGAACCCTAAACCCTAAACCCGAAGCCCTAAGCCCTAAACCCTAAACCCAAAACCCTAAACCAACCCCGAAACTTGAAACCCAAACAGGAACCCCTGTATCAAAGTCCACGGGGCCAGGTTCAGGTCCCCGTCGTCCAGAAGGTGCAGAAGACGGTGAAGGTGCCCCAGATCCAGTACGAGGACTGGTTTAGGGTTTAGGGTTTAGGGGGTTTAGGGGGGTTTAGGGTACAGGGTTTAGGGTTTAAGGTGTAGGGTCTGACTTCTTGACCCCTTCCAGCCCCCAAACCCTAAAACTACAAATAGCCTCAGGACCAGATCGTGGAGGTGCCCGTGCAGAAGGTGGTGCACGTCCCCGTCGTCCAACCGGTGCAGAGGCGCGAAGGGGGGGGGGAAGGTGCGGGGTTTGAGAAGGCTTGCGGAGGTTGCTTCGTGCTGAGATGCACAGAGTCCTATGAAGCAGGGTTTATATTACTGTTTTTGGTGAGTGTATATAAGGTTCCTTTTCAATATTTGTGAGTGTATATGCTGGGTGTCCTTTTGGAGGCACAAGAAATGCATACCCTACTGCATGTGCAGCCCTACGGATCCTTAAGCCTTACCTGCAGCTCTAGTCATCATGCTCTCTTAAGTCTGAAGTTAATGGTCATGGTGTCTGGCCACATGAAGCGTGCGGAGCATTCGTTTCGCGTTCTTAGCCCTGCTGCCCATCTGCAAGCGCCTGCTTGTACCGATGCTTCCGGCGGCAGCTGCCCATTCACCCTCGCTTGAATCCCAAGACCCCAGACCAGACTCCCAAAGCGCACAATCCTGAACATAGACCAACGAAGCTCCACCTGAAATCCCCAAAAAAGCTCGGCCTGCAACGCCCAAACCCCTCACGGTTCGCAGCTTAAGATCCCCACGCCCTTGATCCCCGGGCAGAACCCCGTACCCTGAACCCTTACTTGAAGGTTCATGGGTAGTTAAATTTTTAAGCACCCTAAGTAAGGCTACAAGAATAGTAAACCCTTACTTGAAGGTTCATGGGTAGTTATATTTTTAAGTACCCTAAGTAAGGCTACAAGTATAGTTGCCCCTAGTTGCAACTACCCATTGAGCCCTTCAATCGGGATTGTGGGGTCGCCGCATCGCAGGCCAGGAGAGGCGCCCCGGCAGCTCCAGTTGCGAAGAGGGTTTGGGGTTTAGGGTTTAGGGTTTAGGGTTTAGGGCTTAGGCCATCCGGATGTTGCTTGGGGTCCAGGCTTGTGGGGTTTAGGTCGGAGGCCTACTTCGAGGTTCAAATTTGGGGTACTTATAAGAAGTAGGGTGACTATGGTTGTAACCCAAGTACCAAGAACATTCAAGCAAGCCCCCAAACTTTACACATGGACCCCTGAACCCTTGACTAGGATGCCCAGTAGTACCCTTATTCCCTTTTTGGTAGGTTTAGGTTCCTATAAACCCCTTTAAGCAAAAAAGGGCACCCTTTTTCATCCTAGGTTACTGGGCAACCTAGTTGATGGTTCTGGGAGAATGAGCTGCTAGCACCTCCGCACTTCCGCCACATGTCAAGCAGTGTTCGATGGGCCGAGTTGCAGGTGTCGGAGGCTTGAGGTTATATCCCCCTAAACCCGAAACCCTAAACCCTAAACCCTAAACCCTAAATCCTAAACCCTAAACCCTAAACCCTAAATCTTGCCCCATACCCGTGCCCTCTTAGCTGCGCGTTTAGGGCTTCGAGGTGCACCACAACATGCCCAGCACGCAAGAGTTTTTTCCGAACCCTGAAACTTAGTGACTCGGCTCCCTGACAACCCCCCTCATCCCTGCCAATCCTTTAACCTTAAAATGCGCACGCAGCTCTCGTTCCCACCCGAAACGTTTAAGCCCTTAACAATCAAGCCCGGAAGTGCGAAGCTCCCAACCTGAAGCCCGGCAATGCAGGGAGCGATGCAGATGGGCGGCCCAGGGCAGATGGGCGCCCCAGGCCAGATGGGCGCCCCAGGGCAGATGGGAGGCCCAGGGCAGATGATGGGCCCAGGCCAGATGATGGGCCCAGGTCAGATGGCTGGCCCAGGACAATTGGTTGGTCCAGGGCAGCTTGCCGGCCCAGGGCAGCCGGTTGGACCAGGCCAGATGGCCGGCCCAATGCAAACGATGGGTCCAGGCCAGATGGCACCGACCCCATATGGGGCGTCATCGACGCAGATGGCCCCGCCCGGCACCTACGGCGCGCCGATGCAGGTGCCCCGTGGTGATTCTGGGATTCGTGCTGCTTCTTGTTTTTTGAATGATCACACGGCTCTTCGGCTTTGGTTCAGTAGTAAGCAGGAAGGTGCAAGCTTCCACCAGAGAAAGTGGACGTTTTTACTCCTCAGAAGCCTCGCCAATGGTCTCAAGGTGCAACAAGCCGTCGTCCCGTCGTCCGAAGCCAGCTTGCGATGGTTTTTTCTTTGTATTTTGCTTAGCTTCGGACCTTGGACCGAAGTTGGATGTGGATAGGGCCGTTTCCTACATGGCTCCCTGAAGCTTCGTTCTGACACGTGGGCTCGCAACTTCGTCCGGAGGACTCTTGCACACATGTTAAAGACAAGCCCGTCTTTGAGAAAGATGTCTGAACCCCAACATGCAAGCCCCAACTCTCTTGCGGCGACAGCCCTAACCTAAATCACCAAGCCCGAAACCCCTTGGCGGCTTCCTGTTTTGAACACAGGGACCGGGAGCCGCCAGTCCTGTGCAGAGCTCCACGATGCAGGCGGCGCCGAGGCAAGGGCTGTCCAGCTGCCGCGGGGGGAGGGGGGGGGTGGGGTTTTGGGGTTCAGCGTTTAGGGTTTAGGGTTGAGGGTGCGCACGGGTTCCTTCTTACGGGGCGCTGGTTCTGATAGTGGCATCATGGTTCACAGTGCTTGCTTTTCCTTGTGGCATCTGTGATAGACGGGAGTTGTACTGGAAAGCTACTCTCTTAGTCTGGTAGCTCCTGTGCTTCTGCGAACATCAGGCTCGGCATAGACATCCCACAGCCGCAGAACAATGTTTGTTCCAAGAAAGCGCACGCATGCCTTTTCTTCAGCCTAAACCCTAAACCCCACTCTCTGAGAACCTCCTTCGTCCTAGACCCCAAAGCGTTAAACCCCGAAACGCTAAGACCTGAACCCCAGCCCAATCCCCCCCTCATCCCAGGACGGTTGAGGTGCCTCAGATCCAATACGAGGACCAGGTCGTGCAGGTCCCCATCCAGAAGCAGGCATCCCGCTCTGCTTCGTAGTTCCGGTGTCCGATTTCCACGAGATCTTCCACAAAGACCCTGAGTCATACAAGTATGATATATATATATATATGTATATATATATATGATAGTCATACAATTATGATAGTCAGTTCTGACAGTCATACAATTCTGATAATCACACAGTAGTTGTGAATTACCCAGATACAGCCCCCTCCACATCAGAGCAGGCGACCAAAACCCCCCCAAACACCTGAACACCTGCCCCGAACCCAAAGAAGTGAGCAGTGGTCGTGACTCAGGTTCACGTGCCCATGATCCAGACAGTCCAGAAGACAGTGGAGGTGCCACAGATCCAGTGCCTTGACTGCAGTAGCTGGTCCGGCGTTCCGTGCTTACAGGCGCTCCAGCTTGTGTAATTTGCGTATTGTTGTTCTTGTCCCTGTCTACTTTCCGCCCTCCGTATCATCATATGATTCTTCTGATTCTTACTCTTACTTGCACTTGCAATTTGTCCGGTCACAGTGGTGCGAGATTTTCTCTGAGCCTTTGCGTTTAGGGAGTGCTAAGCAATATTGGGTGCCTACCCTTTTGGACAACACGCCCTTCTGGAATGGGACTACGAGGTTCTAATCTCGCGAGTGGCGAGTTCCAAACCGTAGCACCCCTTTGCCCTAAACCCAATGCCCCAGAAACGCCCGGAATGCCAAAAGCCTACCTCGTGAGGTACATGGACAAGGTGGTTGAGGTGCCAGTGCAGAAGCAGGTGCATGTGCCCCTGGTTCAGACGGCTCTTCGGCAGCAGACTTGATATCGGGAACCCTTAAACCCTAAACCCTAAACCGTAAACCCAAAAACCTTAAAGGTGAGGGAAGGTGCTTTGGATTGAGCCGCACAAGCCGTTGCTTTCAATCTGGGGCAGCCTAAGAAACTTGAAGCCCTGAGGACTTTCACTTCTCGACGCCCCAAGCTCCCGCCTGGACCCCAAACCCTGAAGCCTAAACCCGAAATCCTCAGGTGCATCGTCCGGTGGAGGTGCCGCAGATCGAGTACATCGAGCCTCGGCAAAGCAGTGACGACGTTCGAGCATACACCAGGATGGCACCAAAGTCCCAGCAGTCTAGGTAGCTACACTGCTGAAGCTTTTTTTGACGGCCCCCTGACTCAGAGTCTCCAAACCCTTGGACTGATCCCTATCCTGACTCAGGACCATCACGTGCACATCCCGATCCAGAAGCACCGCCATGTGCCGGTTCAGATCCCGGTCCAGCGCCCTGTGGAGGCTCAGTCGCTGCATGTCAACAAAAAACTCAGCCTTTGTAGGGTTAAGTGTCCGGGGTTCCGAAAGAACCAGCCATACCTCCAGCGCAGCCCGCCACCACTGCCACCGCCACCACTGCCACCGCCACCGCCGCCAGAACTAGCATCGCCACCAACACCGCCACCCACACCGCCACCCCATCGATGACGACGTCAACACCGCCAGCAAGAACACAACCCAGCATATGAGGACCACCTCAACAAAGAAGGACACATCAGCAACGGCGGCATGAGCCCCATGCACAGAGTGGTGAGGGAAGGAGGCTTCTGCATCGCACTTTGCATTTGGAGGTGCCCACCAGACTTAGATTAAGAAGAGAGATCTAAGACCATGGACCGGTTTGGAACCACCAAAGCTGAGCCCTTGTCAGCTGTGTGACGCTATGTTCGACGGCTGCATGGTGCGGGCCGTCTGAGATGGAGCACCTCAGCAGCAGCAACAGCACAACCCGTCATTACAAGAAGGGCAGTACTACTAACAGCAACACCATCACGGTCACGAAGCAGGAGCAGCAGGAGCAGGAGCAGGAGCAGGAGCAGGAGCAGGAGCAGGAGCAGGATCGGAATCACCTCAGTTGTGGCCCACTAGATCCTAAGCCATGTAGAAGCAGCACGGAATGAAGATAGGTCACAACTGTGTTAGCATGAAAGGCCTTACTTTTGAATTTAGGGTCTCGGTTCGGAAAAGGTTGAGAAGGTCCATTTGTGTTTTCACGAGCCACCGACACAACATAACCTCATCAGTCACTTCACTGTCTTCTCACCTTGAAAACACCAAACCACACGAATCATCCTAAACCCCAAACACTCCTTTCTCATGCCGTCTTTGTTCCTTGTCATGTGCTAGGGTTTAGGGTTCGGGGATTACGGCTCAAACCCTCCCCCCAAAACCCCTTAAACCCTCAATCGCCGTAGGTCAATGTGATCGAGACCACCGAGAAGGTGGTTGACATCCCAGTGGTTAAGCAGCGTGAAGTGCCGCAGGCCAGGTTCTTGTTGGCGATACCTTTTCGGAGCGTTTTTTCTACAAGGTTACCCAAAAGAGCACCGACACATTCCGTCACACTAACCCTAAACCCTGAACCCTGAAGCCCTGAAGTGTAGGGTGTCCGGCATCGTGCTTTCTGGGAGGTCCAGACCGTTGAGCGAATCGTCGAAGTTCCGATGGTGCTGCCCTTGAGGAGATTTAGGTTTAGGCGGGCTTTGTGGGTTGGCATCTGTTTTTTGGAGTCTACTTAGAGGCACATGGGTAGTTATAAGTGGGGTTACAAGCAGGGTAACTATGATTAGGACTGGTTCTCACCTTGTCTCGGGCACCATGAACCTCCAAGTAGGAGTTTAGGGGGAATCCGACGCCCTACTGCATCCCGCGTAGATTCTCCGACTCAAGGAGTTCTTGTGACTTTCTCCGTGGCTTTGGGGTTTAGGGTTTGGGGCATCCGGTTGTTGTGCAGCAACCCTAAACCCTGAACCCTAAACCCTAAACCCTAAACCCCAAACCCTAAACCCTAAACCCTAAACCCCAAACCCTAAACCCTAAACCCTAAACCCTGAACCCCTTCATGCCTTCAAGATCCGTGCCACGTCTTGAGGTGCAGGTGGTCCAGAAGGTCGTGGAGATCCCTACGGCGAATCCCGGGGGGGGGGGGGTGTTTAGGGTTTAGGGTTTGGGGTTTAGGGTTTAGGGTTTAGGGTTTAGGGTTGGGGGAGAAGAAGGTTGAAGGATGTCGACGGGCTGAATTTTTAGGGTTCCGTGATTCTCGTGAGATTGGGTTCCTAGGGGCTGTGGGTGCAGGCCTCAGCAGGGCCTACGCCCTAAACCCTAAAACCAAAATCAAAAACCGTAAGCCCTAAACCCTAACCTGCTCAAATCTTGCTCCCAATTCTCGGATCTTGAAACCCTGAGTCCTCAATGCCTGCATCCAACGTCTCACAAACCTTAAACTTCTCCCCCCCCAGGAATCCTTTGTTTATTTACATAGAACCCAAAGGAATATTAAAGAATATGTTCAAAGGGGTTTTAAAGTAGCTCCACTTCAACGATCCCCTGGCTGCCAGGAGGGCCAGACGGTGCAGGGCACCGTACGGGAGGTCGACATCCCCGCCGAGCCCCGCCGCGAGGATAGAAGCGTTGGGGGTGGGGGGGGCCCCCAAAATCCCTAGAATCCCTAAAGTCCTTGAAATCCCTGAAATCCCTAAAATCCCCAAAATCCCTAAAATCCCCAAAAACCCTAAAGACCCTAAGCCCTAAGCCCCAAAGGGTATACTAAAGGGAATACCAGCTCTAGTCAGGGGTTCCCCTACTACCCCCCTCTCTGCCCCCCCCCCCCCCCCCTAGGTTCCCCCCACAATCAAGGCGGGGATAATTAAGCCTACTTAAGGTCAGTTAAGGGGGGGAATCTAGGGGGGGGAGTATAGAGGGGGGTATTAGGGAAGCCCATGATCTAATCGTCCTTGCCTTAAACCATGTTCCAACTTTCTGGAGTTTACTGCAGAAACCCCCGATCCGCGCAGAGCCCTCGACCTGATTCTTAAAAAACCTCTGAAGCTCGCAAAGCCCCTGAACCCTGAACCCTAAACCCTAAACCCTAAACCCTTAACCCCTAAACCCTAAACCCTAAACCCTAAACCCTAAACCCTAAACCCCTCTTTTGTAGGGCCATGCCTGGCTCATGTGCGGTTCCGGTCAAGAAGCCTTCCTCGCCTCTGCTTGCAGGGCCTGGCAGCACTCTACACGTATACCTTGGGATGTTCCCCCTGATGCTGACAGCCCTGAATAGGGATTAGAATATAATAGGGGGTACTATAATCCCTACTAAGGGCTGTTAGTACAAGGGGTAACACCAAGTATACCTTACAGATCCCAAGCCCGAGCAAACCCCTGCTGGCCTCACAGGGCCGCCGGCAGCATCCCATCCTAACCTCTGTCGGGTGCTGTAGGGTTTAGGGTTTAGGGTTTAGGGTTTAGGGTTCATGGTTTCCGGGGCTTGTCATGAGTGCCGATGTCTTGGGATCGAGGTCTCGTAGTCTCCGACCTAAGACTTGGGCTAGGATCATGCTTGGGGGTTTGGGAACATGGGCTGGGCCGGGGAGGAGCACCCGACGCAGACTGTCCAGCAGGCCAGTTGCAGAAAGCGTGGTTCTGTTCTTTTTTGTCTAAGGCCGTTTAAGTATCTAGGGTTAAAGCTCTGGGGTTTGCAGTTTCGGTTTCATGCTTAAGTTTCTGGGCCCGACCCTCAATCCTTCAGCCCCCCCAAAACACAGAAAGCCCCTACGCAGCTGCGCCGGCAACAGGTCCTTGCAGGGCCCGATCATCCCATGGAGGTGGTCCAGGGACAGGTGTGGGCCTTGCGAGGGCACTGCAGTGCGGCATCGGGGACTTTCGTTTTGTGGTGGTGGTGGTGGTGGTGGTGGTGGTGGTGGTGGTGGTGGTGGTGGTTGTGGTGGTGGTGGTGGTGGGTGGTGGTGGTGATGGTGGTGGTTACCCTTGTTTAGAGCTCGCAGTTTTTGCCCAAAAGATGTGCGGCAGCCTTTGTTGGCTTGAATGAGCATTGCTTGTCTACACCCTTTAGCAGTGTCCATCCAGGGCTTAGGGTGCTTGGTTCTTGGGGTTGGGTTTTGGAGGGTGCAGGGTTCTTGCCTTGAAGCTTGTACTACCCGAATTCAAGCACTATCATGATACTATCATGTCCAAACTCTCTAATGTTTCTAAAGCCTAAATTCCAAGCCCAAAACCCCACGCCCAAAACCATACTATAGGGGTCGGAATATTTACTGATAGTATTCCCTTATGGTCCCTTTGCAATGATACTTTAAAAACCCCAAGACCCTGTTCTATTTATTAAGGCCGCCCAAAACGTCCGAGCCTTTTCGGGGCTGAGGTCACGGAGGCTCCCCAGGCTCCCCAGCCACAGGCCATGGGTGGTGGGGTTTTTATTCGGGGAGCCTTGGACGTTGCCGTGGGGGTTGAGGGGTTCACTGGGGCTTGGTATTTTGGGTTGTTGGGACTTCGGGTTGTCGTGGCCTTGGTGCTTTAAAGGGGTGCTCGAGGTGCCATCTTCTTCATCCTCGTTCGTAGAATCCCTCTGCGGCCTGCGCTGTCCAAATCTCAACCCTTCGAACTCACCAGACCGGTTTAGGGTTTAGCCAAACAAAACACGCACAAAGCCGTAGTGAGGTCCAGCTGCAGCAGCCCATGACGGCTGGGACCGCAAACTCTGTGTGAAGCTCCCAAACCTTGAGAACTTGGCCCTCAAGCTCGAAGCCCAAAAGCCCCGCACCCTAAACCCTAAACCCTAAACCTAAACCCTAAACCCTAAAGCCCCGGAGCCAGCGCAGCCGCAGGGTGCACCCTATGGTGCCCCGCAGCCAGCTCGGGCCTTAAGCTTCGGAGGCGTCGAAACCCACGCCCTCAACGCCTCCAGCCCATACATCCTTGCAACAAGGCACCTGTAATCTCAGTGCTTTTATCTTTCTGACCCGATGCGACTCGAGTATGGACCAGGTAGGAAGAAAGCGCTCCTTGCCCGCAGATGCCGAAAACTTGCCTGCAGGATTCATGACAGAAAGCCCTAAGCCCCAAAGCCTGAAGTACCGAAGACACCAAAGCCATCAGGTCCCAGCGCAGCCGCAGGGTGCACCCTACGGGGCCCCGCAGCCCATGCCGCAGCCCATGCCGCAGCCCATGCCGCAGCCCATGACGGCTGGGACCTTAAACTTTTTGGGGTTTGAAGCGTCTACATCAGCACTCAAAACCCGGCCCTTAAACTTTGGGGTATGAAGCGTCTACATCTGCACTCAGAATCCTTCAACCCACAAAGTCTCAGGTCCCAGCGCAGCCGCAGGGTGCACCGTACGGGGCGCCGCAGCCCATGCCGCAGCCCATGCCGCAGCCCATGCCGCAGCCCATGACGGCTGGGCCCCTCCTAAAATTTGGGGCTTGAAGCGTCTACATCCACACTGAAAAGCCCTCAAGCCCCAAAGCCATCAGGTCCCAGCTTCTTTATATGACAAGCGACCCTCATTTGCCTCTGAAACCACACACCCCGAAGTCTGACAAACATCCCTGCCTTCTTGACATACTTGGACAATCCTGGACCTAATTCTGTAGTTCGGAGCTGGATCGCGTCCTCAACCTTCTACGTCCTGGGCAGGTGCCCGCCACCACCACCACCATCGGTGAGCCGGTCTACCTGCCGCCCACGACCGGCCCGGCCGAGGTTGGTGGGGATGCAGCCCTGAACTCAATTCCGAGTTCCTCTACAAGCCGATATGCAACAATGCACCCTGCAGCCTGAAGCCCCAAAGATCTATGTCCTACAACTACTTTATAACCATACTAGGGCACTTAAGGGGCTTATAAGTGGGTTATGAGTACAGTTATTATTGGTTGATAAGTACCATGAACCTCCAAGTACAAGTAGTTGAGGCCTTGATTGCCAGAGCTCCAAGGCCCACTCGCCAACCAACCAAGTGCCCAAAAGCCAAGCAGACAGCAAACGAGCAATCAAATGAACAAGCAAGCATGCATGCACGCGAACACGCAACCAAACAGGTAGGATTTTGGTTCATGGTCTATTTTCGGGGTCTGAGGGATTTGTTTGAAAAAATGGAGCGTCAAGCGGGCAATGCAGGCTCCGATGCAGATGGCCCCAGAGCAGGCCCCGACCACCTATGGGGCCCCGCCGACGCAGATGGCCCCGGCTACCTACGGCGCCCCCATGCAGGTGCCCTCGCGCATTTCTGGGTGTGCAGACCGAGTTGGATTCCGGAAAGATTTCACGGTCACGTGTCGGTGTCAGCTCACGTTGTAATTGCAGTGCGCGGTCTGCGCGGTGATTCTGGGTGCGCACCATTCTTCGGAACATGGTTTCCTGCCAGGCGCCAGCGACAACCACCATCGGTGAGCCGGTGTACCTGCCTCCCATCACTGCGCCTTCCGAGGCCGGTCAACGGGCATAGCGGATGAGTCCGATCTTGGGGCCACAGCTTGTAGACATAGTTGCTGTCGCGTATGAGTGCTACAGTTCTGGCCAATAGGCCAGGAGATTGGGGTCACCCAACGCTATACACTCATCAGCTCTTTGAAAGGAACCCTATGTATTATACACACACCACAATCGATAATGTAGACCCTGCCTCATCCTTGCAAACGGCGCCGTCAAAGCAGCCTCGACGAATCAGGGCGCCCCTCAGATGGCCCCAGCCTACGGCGCTCCGGCCCCGGCCTACGGCGCTCCGGTGCAGGTCTCGCGCTTGAGGGCACGTGTTGTCCAAGGTTTAGGGTTCAGGGCTCGGGCATTAGGTTTGAGCTTAGGCGGTTGCAGAAAGCGATGCCCGCAGCACTGTTGCCCTTAAGCCCACTTCCTGAACCTTTAGCTCTACTTCGACATTGTTCTCAGCGCATGTCCCCCTTTACATTTTACTATCTTGCGTTTTGCTTTGCAGAAATCTTCTCAACCAAACCCTCTGCAAAGAAACCTCCAGTTACTCAACCTGAAACCCACCCTCAACCGTTCAACCCTTTTTTGCCCTCAAACCTACGTCAGACATATACATATACGGACATATACAGAATACGTGTGTTTGTGTGCATGCAGGTATGTAAGTACGTATATACACACACCCACACATGTTTCGAACATAAAAAACAACATCAACAAGCACACACGCTACAAAGCAAACACACAGACAGACACCTGCACACACAGAGACAATATCAAGCACAAGCAAGCAAGCACAGCCGAGCAAGCGAACAAACAAACACAAACGAAGAAACGGACAGACAAACAACGCAAGTATCTAGCAAGCAAACGAACAATCAGATGAACAGGCAAGCACGCATGCACGCGAACACGCAACCAAACAGGTAGGATTTTGGTTCATGGTCTATTTTCGGGGTCTGAGGGATTTGTTTGAAAAAATGGAGCGTCAAGCGGGCAATGCAGGCTCCGATGCAGATGGCCCCAGAGCAGGCCCCGACCACCTATGGGGCCCCGCCGACGCAGATGGCCCCGGCTACCTACGGCGCCCCCATGCAGGTGCCCTCGCGCATTTCTGGGTGTGCAGACCGAGTTGGATTCCGGAAAGATTTCACGGTCACGTGTCGGTGTCAGCTCACGTTGTAATTGCAGTGCGCGGTCTGCGCGGTGATTCTGGGTGCGCACCATTCTTCGGAACATGGTTTCCTGCCAGGCGCCAGCGACAACCACCATCGGTGAGCCGGTGTACCTGCCTCCCATCACTGCGCCTTCCGAGGCCGGTCAACGGGCATAGCGGATGAGTCCGATCTTAGGGCCACAGCTTGTAGCCATAGTTGCTGTCGCGTAGGAGTGCTACAGTTCTGGCCAATAGGCCAGGAGATTGGGGTCACCCGACGCTATACACTCATCAGCTCTTTGAAAGGAACCCTATGTATTATACACTCACCACAATCGACAATGTAGACCCTGCCTCATCCTTGCAAACGGCGCCGTCAAAGCAGCCTCGACGAATCAGGGCGCCCCTCAGATGGCCCCAGCCTACGGCGCTCCGGCCCCGGCCTACGGCGCTCCGGCGCAGATGGCGCCTGCGACCTACGCTCCGGCAACCCAGGCACGGGACCCCAGGTGTTGCAAATTGTGGTAGTGAAGCCCCCGCGCCTAAAGGTCCTCCCCAAGTTTTCGCAGCATCATGCAGCATCCCGGCAGCTCGCCAGGTGCCTGGAACCGTTCCTGGCACCGTTCCTGGTCCTGTCCCGGGCACCACCACGGTTGGCGATCCTGTCTTCCTGCCACCCATCACTGCCCCAGCGGAGGCACCGCTGCACCATGGTTCAGGGATTCGGCTTCAGGGTTTGAGGGTCCCTGCGTGCAGGTTTCACGTTTGAGGGCACGTGTGGTCCAAGGTTTATAGGGTTCAGGGCGCGGGGATCAGGTTTGAGCTTAGGTGGTTGCAGAAGGCAGAAAGCGATGCCCGTCGCACTGTTGTCTTTAAGCCCCACTTCCTCAATCAGAGCGTGTCCCCTTTTACATTATGCTATCTGACTTTGCTTTACAGAACAAATCTTCCCAACCGCGCCCTCTCTACAACAACTCTAAGTTACTCAACCCGAAACCCCCTCAACCCTTCAACCCTACATCTTAAACTCTTCACAATAGATCTCAACTTCAACTCCTCGCAACTTTCAAGGACCCGCCATCAACAGGAAACGAAACACACACGAGCTGAAAAGCAAACGGGCCCAATATGCAGTTTGCAAAATACAAAAAAGGGTTTTTAGTTTTTAAGATTTTTTAAGTAAACATATGTAAAAAGCACGTTTACCTTGATTTGTGTATTTTGTATTTGTTTTGTTTATCTTGTTTTTTTGCATATGTATGTATGTAACTGTACATGCATGCATGCATACATACACACATCTCTAAGTCTGTATGTATATATATATATGTATAGTGTATTTATGTAGGTGTGTGTGTATATATATATATATATATACGTACATCAGAGAGCAAAAGCAAGCAAACAACCGAGTACATAAGACACATGACTCAATATATACATGAACACATGATTGACTGTATTACAAACCAATGAATGACAGTAACTTTATAAAGTCGACAACGCAAATAGACCGTATATACACAAACAAGAATATAACATGTATGCATGCGTGCATGCGTGTGTATGTGCATGTGTATATGTATATGTACATGTATATATATATATATATAAACATACAAAGAGATATTGACATGTGCATTTGTTAATGGCACTGACAGTGGAAGGCTCACCTTTGGGCAAGGTGCCGAAGAGATTGAAAGCTCAGACGGGCAACGCAGGCTCCGATGCAGATGGCCCCAGGGCAAATGGCCCCGAGCCCCTATGGGGCCGCGCCGACGCAGATGGCCCCGGCGACCTACGGCGCGCCGATGCAGGTGCCCTGTCGCGTCAATCCTGTCTGGTTGCCAACAGAGTTGGACTCATCCGGTACGTTTTTTTACGGTCACGCGTCATGTCAGCTGCGCGCCTGCCTTGGAAAGTTGGCTCAGACCCCTTGGCTGCGACAGTAGCTCATGCTGCTCATTTCTTCGGTGCATGACTTTGCAGGTGCTTTTGCAAGGTGTGTTTGCAGTGCGCGGTCTGCGCGGTGATTCTGCGTGCACATCATTCTTCGGAACATGCTTTTCTGCTAGGCACCAACGACAACCACCATCGGTGAGCCGGTGTACCTGCCTCCCATCACTGCGCCTTCCGAGGCCGGTCGACTGCTGTCATGTGTGAGTGCTGATGTTCTGGCCAATACGCAAGGAGATTCTGCATGGTGGAACAACATGGCCTGCAAACAGAGTTCCGCAAAACAGTGACATCGGTGTGAACCAATGAAAGCCTCGACGAATCAGGGCGCCCCTCAGATGGCCCCAGCCTACGGAGCTCCAGCGCCTGCTTACGGTGCTCCAGCGCCTGCCTACGGTGCTCCGGCCCCAGCCTATGGCGCTCCGGCCCCAGCCTACGGCGCTCCAGCCCCTGCCTACGGCGCTGCGGCCCCTGCCTACGGCGCTCCGGCGTACGGCGCTCCGGCATACGGCACCCCGGCCACCATCCAGGCTGGCAGAGCAAGATGCACGTGCCTGGCAAATCAGCGCTGATTGTTTCCCTGTTCGGAACGCATAAAGACTGTGCGTTTGAAGCTATAGCAAATTAGCTACCAGCTACCAGTACGCCTGTGTTCATGACATGTTAACCCTAGTCCTACAATCCAATTAAGCCCCTAAACCCTAAACCTTAAACCCTAAACCCTAAACCCTAGACCCTAGACAACCCTACAGCCCAAACCCTAAACCATACACTGTCCTGAGCCCTAAATCCCTTAAACCGCAGCCTGGCTACGCTCCCGGCTACGGCGCACCGGCCACCATGCAGGCTCGCAGTGAAGGATTCAAGGTTTCGGTTTTAGGGTTTAGGGTTTAGGGTTTAGGGTTTAGGGTTTAGGGTTTAGGGTTTAGGGTTCAGGGTTTAGGGTTTAGGGTGTGCGTCTCAGGGTGTTTGAGGATCAGGAGTTTGGCGATTCAGGCTTTGGGCTTGCGGTTCAGGGTGTATAGGGCTCAGGGGCTTATAACCCTAAGCCCGCGTCGAAGCCTGTAGGGCTTGGGAGGAACCGCTGCGTCTCAAAAGCCTGCCTTGTTTCTTGTCAGGTCTCTCCAAATCTCAAAAAAATCTATGAGGAGCTTACAGGAGGGTCTTGCTATAGCAATGACCGGAAGACACATGTAGGGTTTAGACCAGGCGTCGGGCCGGAACTCCAAAACGAAGCCGAACAGAAGCCTGTAACTCAAGCAGCGCAAAGCCTAAGCCCCAAGCCCTGCACGCTGGACAGTAGTGACCATAAACCCTAAAGCCCTAAACCCTAAACCCTAAACCCTACACCCTAAACCCTAAACCCTAAACCCTACACCCTAAACCCTAAACCCTACACCCTAAACCCTAACCCTAAACCCTACACCCTAAACCCTAAGCCCTGAGCCCCCAAGCATCTCATAGACGTGGCTCTAACTCTGCACCCGGCCGCTCTCCAGGGACTTTTTTGGGCTCCGGGCTTACTTGAAGGTTCATGGGTAGTTATAAGTGGGGCTATAAGTGCACCTAAATACGGTAAGAACCAGTTAGAAGTAAAGAGTGACCTTACTTATGATTCCTCCAAGTAGGGGTTAGGACTCCCTGTTGTGCAGGGAGCCCCCGGCACTGACTTCTTCAGCATGATGGACCTGCTGAGGGGCCAGCGTAGTTTGGAACAGGGATGAAGAGTGCTTTTAGCTGCTTTCAGGTTTCAGTGGGGGGGTGGGGGGTGGGGGTGGGGGGGTGGGGGTGGTGGTGGTGGGGGTGGTGGTGGTGGGGGTGGTGGTGGGGGTGGATTGGCAGCTGTGTGCAGGTCGTCTGGAAATTGTGCTTGGCAAAGTGCTTATCCGCTGTACTCTAAACTGCAAAAGTCCTGCAGTTCTCCATGCATGAGCGCATGAGTGCAAGCTGCCATACTTCACGCCCGCTGGTTGCCTAACCGGTGGTCAGGCTCGGGTGAAGGAGCGGCTTTAGGGTGTCAGCCCCAAGCCTCAATTCCTACGCTTAGTTTTTTTCGAGGACACCAACAACGATGGAGTCGTGTCCCGGGACGAGTCACCAAGCCATCTTCAGCAGGGTGTGCTCATTGAGGTTCGGAAATATGGTGTGTGGTCGGAGTTTTTCACAGGGCAAACATGTCTTGGAAACGTAAATCCCTGCCGGGTGCTTTAGCAACCATTGATGCTATGTAGAATCTCCCGCTCCGCCCACAACACGTCCAGGTTTTAAACTACGCCAACGAAGCACAAACATGTGCACATGGGGCTGTACCGCTTCACGCACTGTGGCCTCGAAAGCTTGCACAGTGGGTCCCCACGGGAACAACGAGCGCCTACTGGAAATGTAGCCCTAAACCGGAAACCCTAAACCGCCTAAACCCTAAGAACCGAAACCCTGCCAGTGTGGTCAGCTTGCAACAATTCTACATGTGCAGCGGCCCAGAACAATGGGCATCACACATGCTCGCGCATTTGGCCGCGATTCGGTTCTCGGAGTTGCGAAGTCGGATTTCCTCGTTTAGGGTTTAGGGTTTAGAGTTTAGGGTTTAGGGTTTAGGGTTAAAGCCACGGAATGTAGCGGCAAGTATACGTTGCCAGCGCATTCAGCGACCGAACTCGATCTGATGAAGCCCTATAAGCCCTGGCATTTGGTGTTTATTAGGGTATCGCTCCGAAACTGAACCCATTGAACCCTAAACCTTAAACCCTCTCCACCCCCTCTCCACCCCGAGGTTTCTCGCGGCCCGGCGGTCGGGTGCCGTGCAGGCGATCGGAGCCCGGGCCCCAAGCTCGGGGGCTTGCGGGGGTTTCAGCGATTTCGGTGCTTGAGGGTTATAGCCGCTGGAGTGGGGTTAGAGTTTACAGGGTATAGGCTTCAACCCAAAAGCCCATCTAGTCTCAAAGCCCGGGGATCCCACCATAAACTCTGAACCCGAAGCCATCAATCCCTGGCAGACCTCCACCTGCCCGGCATGCGGCAACGTGTACGCGGACGACGCGGTTTTCTGCCGGAAGTGCGGTCGCAAGCGCGACGAGGCGCGGGCTGATGTGCTGGCATTGCTACTCTAGGGGTCGGCATAAGTTACTAATAATATTCCCTTTTCGGCCCCTTTCTACTACAATAACCCCCCCCCCCCCCCCCCCCCCCCCCCCCCGGATTATTTAAGCCCCTATGTAGTCGGGTTTGATTGTGGATTTGCGACAGCATTTGGGTATGGTCGTCATCCGGCATCTCCGAGCTCAGTTGGGTTTGGGATGTTTCGGATCTAGGTGGCCTTTAAACACCTCGAAGCTCTGTGCTTGAGATCCTACAGCAGAATCCTACTACAGGCTCTTATCCTTGAATACTGCCCACTCATGAACAGTTTGATAGTGGCACTCAGATACTTTAGCAAGTACGTCCTGTGAGGCTAGGGTTTCAGAGTGGAAGCTGCGCCCGGACATTCGAAAGCTCAGGTTTTGATGGTTTCGGGTTGAGGGTTTCCGGTTTAGGTTGGGACAAACTGCGACCGCAGATTCGTTTCATCGGGGCCATGTTCCTACCAGTCGTGCATATGGACTTTCCTACAGATTCATGATAGTCATTGGTGAAGAGCACTGCTGCACCAAGAGATTTCAGTCGGGCACCGCGCAAACAAGCGGCTGAGTCTTCATGCTCATATGCCAAGATAGGCTTAGATTTGAGCCGATTGAAGCTGCGGACCCCTCAAGCGTGACCCCTGCCCTCCCAGATGCCCTAAACTTTAATTCCGAAACCTTAAACCCTGAACCCTAAACCCTGAACCCTAACCCCTAGAAGCCACCCCTGAACAACAGCGCCTCCCCGCCTCTCCCACTCCCCCACCCCACCCCTCCCTGCCCCCCCCTCCCACCCGAATATATCCCTAAACCCTAAACCCTAAACCCTAAACCCTAAACCCTCAAACCCTCAAACAAAGACCTAAAGCCCGAACCTCCCGTTTTGGAGACTTTGAGGAGGTTCCGATGGAGCCGGTGCAGGCCGCGTTTGGCCGCTCTCTTCCACACGTACAGCAAACAGAAGAGCGCATGTCAACAGCTACCTGGGTTTAGGGTTTAGGGTTTAGGGTTTAGGGTTTAGGGTTTAGGGTTTAGGGTTTAGGGTTTAGGGTTTAGGGTTTAGGGTTTAGGGTTTAGGGTTTAGGGTTTAGAAAATAGGGTTCAGGTTGGTATGTGATGCTGAGGGGATTGGGCGATGTAGGTTTCAGGGTTTAGGGTCTCTTGCTTTTCGTCGTGTTTTCTTCCGGTTTTGCTATCTGAGGGAGGGCGCTTCTCCTGCACAGCGTTTCTGGAACCTTCGGGTAATCGAATTCGAATAGCTTCGCGGCTGAGTCTTTTTGTGGTGGTACAGCCCAAGCCCGCGAAGCCGTACAGGCCGAAGCAATAGGATGTTGCCCCTTATGGCAGTATTGTGGCAGCTTTGGCTATGTACTAAAGGGAGAAGCGCCTAACCCTAAACCCTAAACCTTCTATGCCCTAAGCCAGAGACAAGCCCCATACCCTAAGCCCCTCTACGCCTGTACATCCCTAGACCCTACGTAAACCCTTCAACCTAGAACCCTATCACCCGAGAACCCTAAACCCTAAACCCTAAACCCTAAACCCTAAACCCTAAACCCTAAACCCTAAACCCTAAACCCTAAACCCTAAACCCTAAACCCTAAACCCTAAACCCTAAACCCTAAACCCTAAACCCTAAACCCTATGAGCCCTAAGCCAACCCGTAAACCAGCCGGCCTCCTTCAGGGCCAGTAAGCGAAGGACATCCAGGCGGCCATCAGGCCGTGGGGCTTTGGCTTTGGGGTTTGGGGGTTTAGGGTTTAGGGTTTAGGGTTTAGGGTAGAGAGTAAGCTCTTGCTTTCCCCCATCGGCGTGGCTGAGCTCGCAAGCCACCGTCACCTTTCCCTTGAAGAGCCGCAGGGTTATAAGGGTTTCGAAGGGTTTATACGGGTTTCCAAGGGTTTATAAGGGTTGTTCGGTCTCAGCTTTTGACTTTTCGGGTTGTTCGGTTTTCAGGGCATTTTGCGACTTTCCAGATGTCTCAGACTTACGGAACTTTTCGGACTTTCCGGGATTTGTCGAACGTGCAGGGCCAGGGCTTCTGAACTTTGCAGCTTTTGGCAACAAGCTCTTGTTAAAAGACTTTCGCGGGTCCTACGCCGGCTGCAACGAAAACTGAAACAACAATCGAGTGTCCTCTCCAGTCCTGCGTGTTTCAGATCCTAAACCCTAAACCCGAAGCCCTAAATTTAAGAGCCTCCGGCTCAAGCCGCCGACCCCGCAGGAGAACAAGTTTAAGGTTTGGGGTTTGGTGGATTGGGTTTGCGGTTCGGGTCGGGTGGGGGCGAGAAGCTGTCTGGGTAGGGAGGGGGGGGGTGTGTGCAGCTTAAATAGGGTCTATTTGGAAGCTGGGACTCGTATTTACAAGAGGAGAACAGGCCCCAAAACGTATACTTATTCACAAGAGCCATCTTCCAAATAGACCCTATTTTAGGTCCTGTAGGGTTGCACAGATA